GATACACTTACTCAATATTGTGATATTTAATTTAATCCGAGTATATATTTATAATTTGAATTTAATTTTAACCATTATTATACATTGGCGTACAGATTTAAAATATAGACAACTCAATATAAATAAATTAATATAAGTAGTACACTTGTAAGCGAGCAATAATAATTTCAAATTCTCAGAAATTTCAATTGCAATCGATTAATACTGACTGTATTCCGAATCTCATCACATTATGCCAACAAATATTTGGCTGACGGCCCATTGTGATAACACACAATTAACTATATTACTTAAAGAAATTATGATGACATCATAGGAAAATACTTCTCGTGCCGCGAACACCGCCGATCTCCGAATGAAACTTAAACCGTCTGCCTGCAAAATATTTTAGTATCAAAAAAAATTAACGTCTTTCGACGATTCAAATTATCAATTGGCACTTGAGGTCTGACAAATCCCAGTGCGTTGTTAAGCAAATATCACATCTGAAAGGTTTTCCACCAGTGTGAATCATTTTGTGCCTTGTAACCTTGTACGCTTAAACTGTTTTCGGCATACATCACATTTATATTTTTGTATCTTCAAGGCCTAGAAAACAAACGTTTGAAAAATGCGTTAGACAAGTATTTGAAAGACACACGTTGAATATTCAAATTTAAAACCCAATTAAATAAGTATTTGTTTATTTTATAGTGAATCATAATTTATCATAATAAAAACAATTTGAATAGGTATTTAATATCTGATATTTTATCACTAAAAGACACTGAATATATTTTAATAACTACATTTTGTAAAATCTAAGTTTAATACATTTTGTATGATTTGATTAATATGGAACTTCATAAAAAAATTCTATTTTGCATATTACCAATAATACTTTTTAATAAACAATTTTCATACATTTTTATAATTGTTGTAACATAATTGAAACTTTATCCAATCACATATGACGTAATATGACAATGAAATATTTAGGCAGGGTGGTACCTATGTGAATTTAGAAAAAAAAGGTCGAAACCCATTACATATAAAAATGTAGGTAAATAGGAACACGGTATAATATTGTTGTTTGAGACATGAAGGATCATGGTACACAGATGGTTTTTGCTGATAAATCATAAACAGAAATTAAAAACAATTTTATACTCCACCTCCACAACTGCATATTGTGTCCATCATTTTGCGTTCACAACAATACATTTTACTCTGTAATTTCTAAAATTAGAGTGAAATAACTTCCTATAAAATTCTTAGGTTATTATATCTAGATCAAAAGTTTTTAAACTGTGGTACGCGTACCACTGGTGATACGTGGAAGACACACGGCGGTGGTACCCGGAAGGCTGCATGGTAGAACAGAAAATTGAAATTAAATATTTTTAATTGTGTTTGAAATGGTTAGAGGTACCTATAATATTTTTTTTTATAAAATGATTATAATTACTATACATACATTCATTATTATTATCACGGGAAATCGTCAATAAATACGATAATGCATGATAAATGTATCTTTTGAAAATGGTTTTTGAACTGGTGGTTTTCTGAAACAATTAAAGAAAATATATAAGCCAATCGATATCGAGTCTAAAACTATTATCAATAAAAATACAATTGATAAAAGTATGGCTTAAATACTAGTAGTTTTATCAACTTGAATGCGGGGGTTAGCCGCAGGCGCTGGTCCCGCGTTTCATACCGTAAGAGGACTAAGCGATTCTCTCCATATTTTGCATCTTTTTTCTGGTTTTCTTCAATAGAAAATTTAGTTGGGTGTCCGTAATTCCGTGTACAAAAACATTTAATCGACAAATTGTCTGTGTGTGTTTTTATTTAACAAGAATAATTATAAGTAGAAACAAATTAAGAATTAAAAGAATAAAAAATAAGTATTCAATAAAATAGTTGGTATTCAATAGTAAAAAAAGTATTTCAAATACCATTCAAATACTTCAAAGTAAAAAGTATTTAAAAAAGTATTCAATACGGAAATTTATATGGCAATCATAACTATTTAAATACATCATTAATGCTTCACTAGTTACTATATTGTCTACATTTTTTAATGCGGAAGCAATTTTCACAATCAGGTTCTGAAAAATAAAAATAAATTTAAAAAAAAAACCAATGTAAATAAGTTAATGAAAAAGTTGTACTTGCCTCACTTCCGAGAAATTGTCTTTTATATTTGGTAGTTTTTTTAACATGCTTCATCATTATGTGTTGATGGATCGTATAAGAATTCTTTGACACAAAAAGGACATTTTATCATCATGAAGTCTAATTTGTCATCAGTCGACGAATACTTGTAGCAAATTGGCAATCTTTGTTCAAAAACTATAATAATAAATATGATATAAAATTAGTGTTCGGAACTTCCACGTTCTATTTTAAAAATACGAGTGACGTTCATAAACGACGTTCTTTCCAAATACTGTATAATATGCATATCTAATGGCGCGTCCAGGCTGAACATTTTTTCCCCCCCGCCGCACGGGGCCGACGGAGGCCGCGCGGCCATTAGATAGGTATGTATTTTGTAAGTATTTGGAAAGAACGTCGTTTATGAACGTCACTTGTATTTTTAAAATGGAACGTGAACGTGAACGACGTTTATATTTTTAATGAATTTGATCGATTTTTAAAACGTTTAATTTACTTACCATTAAAATCAGGAACGTGGGCCATATTACCAGCTGCCGGCTTAGTAACAACAACCCTGTTAAGGCTCGTCCAGACTGAGCAGCTTATGGCACGTGGCATGGACGCGCGGCCTCCGTCGACCCCTTGCCGCGTGCCAAAAGCTGCTCGACTGGACGCGCCATAAAACCCTGTTGTTGCTAAGCGGGCAGCTGGTAATATGGCCCAACGCCTGGTCAGGTTGAGTTCAAATAAAATTAAATATAAAACTTACGTTCAGCAACCGAGAGCGTGGTCCTAGGATTACCGTAGTCCTCGCTACGTCCTACACTGTGTGGCTCCATAGAAACAAAACGGATTAGACAGATAAACACCGGTATAAAAGCATAGAAACTTATGAACGCAGAATGAGGTATAGACGGATATAAACGGACAGTCACTTATGTATGGACGCAGAATGAGCATGAGGCATACGCATATAGGTCGCACGACGTATGGACGTAAAATGACTTATAGACGGATATACACTATGGTTACTAGTACCCGGGGTACGAAACTCCGTGCGTTGGCCAACCCCACCAAGCGTATCCCGCCTATCGTTTGTCTAGCATGATGTTGGTGCCAGGAAACGTTTCCATGTTTTTCGGAGGTTCAGACTTCAGATCATAGGGAAACAAAACCTACCCGATAAAACATATTTCCATCTCTGAACAATTTTATAAAATCAACCCTTTTACCTATCAACTTTATATTAACGTTACTAGTACCCTGAGCTACCCTTCCCCCAATTTTGGGGTGCGTGATGACGATATCACGGCTAGGGCATTCTTATTGTGGATTTTATTTATAAGATTTTTTTTTGATTTTTTGTATTTTAGTTTCTTGTATGTTAAGTATATCGTTTAATAATTGAGAGGTTTTTTTTAATCTAATAATATCGGGGTTTGATGTGTTTATAAGGTGGTGAAATGCTGATAAATATCTAATATACAGTATACTTACATCACAGTATTCGACGTCTGTGCTCTTTTCTGCTACTTGTATAGGCGGCGTTTCTTTCGGTTCAGCAACTGCGGGTTTCTGTAAAACATTATGTTTAAGTATTAAGATTGATTTTTATAAACATTTTATTTAAAAAAAAAAACCTGAGCTGTTAAATTACTAATATACAGTATACTTACATCACAGTATTCGACGTCTGTACTCTTTTCTGATACTTTAGGCGGCGTTCCTTTCGGTTCAGCATCTGCGGGTTTCTGTAAAACATTATGTTTAAGTATTAAGATTGATTTTTATAAACATTTTATTTAAAAAAAAAAAACCTGAGCTGTTAAATTACTAATATACAGATTGTGATAAATTTTGATACTTACTTAATAGTAAGTTTATCTCTGCTTTGAGGTTCAATCTATATTGCCAAGGAACTCTTTTAATTTCTGATACAAGGGACATGGCAAAATGATAATCGTCATCTTCGGATTTTGATTTTGATTCAATCAACTCCAAAATACTCTGAGACCGCAGGACCTCGAGTTTGACGACCGGAGCCGGCAGGCGTAGGGAGCTTCTATAGACTTATGTTACTCTAACTGGAGGAGCTCAAGGAGGTACCGTGCCGTTTGTCACCCTAGGATATTTAATGTTATGAATCTGGCACCATTGTATAGTAAGGTTATATATATAATGATCAAATTGATTGTTCGCCATCATATAATCGTGAAATTTATCGGAATAATGTAAATATACAGTTGAATTTGTTCCCACCCCTAATAAATCTAATTGTCCGGAATGTAAAAGGTAACAACGACACAAAGTCATCAAAGAATCGATATTCCACTTCGCCGCTTTCACACTATATAAAAATATATCTTTTGTCTCGATCTTCAATTCTTCCGTACAGTCATTAACAATAGCCCTATACAACCTATAGCCCCATCTTAAAACACGCGCCATCAATAGACCATCACGTGTAACACTAGAAGCTCCTGGACGGTAAGCTATCTGATGTCCGAAGTCCAATATTTCACCTGAGAACCCATTAGAGGCGTCGATTAACTCTTGCGCCGATGTAACATGCTTATTTCGCGGGAATATGTCCAAAATTACCTCAAGCCATCTACCGGCAGGCTTAAATACTATTTCACAACTTGACATCACACATATCTGACATAGAATACATTTATCGACTCCTGTAATGCCATACCTCATGAAAGTATCGACGCGATCAGGAGCAATCCCGGCACGTCCCCACAGCCTCAGTAAAACAGTGGGAACAGTTAGAACGCCCTCGAACGCCATCTTTACTATAACATCAAGTAGACTGGAACCATAAACATCGCGGTCAACAAGCATATCTCTTAATGCTGTAATATTCTCGAAAGTCTCCGTCCGAATAAATTAGTGGTTCGTTGTCTCGTCATATCTTTATGTGCTCTGCTGCCTTGAGTTCGAAATATACGCGAAAATATAAGAGCTCTATCCATGTTGTTCTTAACTTTGTCAATATCTATTCCTTCAGTTCCAAATAAGCTTACCTTGTACCAAGACTCAAATTCATTATTATCCCTCTTACCACGCTGTTCAATTGAATGTGTGTATATCCTATTATTCGAAATCTCATTATACTTGTTAATTATTAAATTCTTTCCTTTATATATCGTTTCAAATATTACATCAGGGTCATGTCTATAAGATAAACTATAAGAAACTATCAGGTCGTCCTCGGTGAGGGGGACGAAATGGCACGGTACCTCCCGAGCCTGTCCTTGCGCGCGATCACCACCTCCCTGTTCTACAGGGGACCTGAGTTCTACGATATTTTGCATCATTAATCCTTACCGTGGACGAAAGTGCAATCGGAAAACAGGGTCTTTTTTAAAACAGGTAAACAGGTAAACATGTAAAAAGGTCAAGGAGTGAAAACACAAATTAACTATGCATACGGACTCGTAACTTTTATTATAAAAATATCGACGTCCTCCGCGGAGCATTATAGTAGTGTTGCGCGCATGCGTATAAACGTAAAATCGCAAACTTTGGAAGGCTGTAACTTCCAAAATAATCATTTCCGCAAACTAATTTTTACACCATCGTTTTAAAATTGTCGAAATACATGGGTTTCCGAAAAAAAAAATCGAAAAATTCAAGTGGGCGCTAAATTAGAATTGTGCCAATTACTTTATTCGGAATATCATCAAATATATCATTTATTATAAAGACTGGTATTCGGATTGTCTTTAATATATACAAGGGGACGATCGAGCCACATTTTTGTATTTGACCTAATCGCTTGACGAAACTGGTCGCAGCAGCGCAGGCCGCCGTGTCATCGGAGCGCTAGTGGTGATCGTATGCACGGCGGCACAGATGCATACTACATTGCTACAGCTATAGTATACTACCGCCGATCGCCGAACACAGACCACCAGTTAGGGCGAGGAAATCATTTTGAGCGGACAGTATTTTTAATAATATATTCAATGTAGAATAAATATTATAACTCATATCGATTAATATTGACTGTATTCCGAATCTCATCACATTATGCCAACAAATATTTGGCTGACGGTCCATTGTGATAACACACAATTAACTATATTACTTAAAGAAATTATGATGACATCAAAGGAAAATACTTCTCGTGCCGCGAACACCGCCGATCTCCGAATGAAACTTTGAAAAATGCGTTAGACATGTATTTGAAAGACACACGTTGAATATTCAAATTTAAAACCTAATTTAATAAGTATTTATTTATTTTATAGTTAACCATAATTTATCATAATGAAAACAATTTGAATAGGTATTTAATATCTGATATTTTATCACTAAAAACACTGAATATATTTTGATACCTACCTACATTTTGTAAAATCTAAGTTTAATAATACATTTTGTATGATTTTATTAATATGGAACTCTCATAAAAAATTTTTTTTTGCATATTACCAATAATACTTTTTAATAAACAATTTTCATACATTTTTATAATTATTGTAACATAATTGAAACTTTATCCAATCACATATGACGTAATATGACGATGAAATATTTAGGCAAGGTGGTATGTGAATTTAGAAAAAAAAGATCGACAACCCATTACATATAAAAATGTAGTTAAATAGGAACACGGTATAATATTGTTGTTTGAGACATGAAGGATCATGGTACACAGATGGTTTTTGCTGATAAATCATAAACAGAAATTAAAAATAATTTTATACTCCACAACTGCATATTGTGCCCATCATTTTGCGTTCACAACAATACATTTTACTCTGTAATTTCTAAAATCAGACTGAAATTAATTCCTATAAAATTCTTAGATTATTATATTAATTATTTATATCTAGATCAAAAGTTCTCAAACTGTGATACGCGTACCACTGGTGATACGTGGAAGACACACGGCGGTGGTACCCGGAAGGCTGCATGGTAGAACAGAATATTGAAATTAAATATTTTTACTTGTGTTTGAAATGGTTAGAAGTACCCATAATATTTTTTTTATAAAATAATTATAATAACTATACATACATTCATTATTATCACGTGATAATCACGTGTTATTATCATCATTGTGGTATCCAGCTCTTCTCAAAAATCATGTGAGGTCCTGATCTTGGTTGAGTTGTTGCACATGGCTTGCTAAGACAGTGGTAGTGTTCTCTCGTTCCCTTCTTGATGCACCATCTCTAATCTGAAATGTAATTAAGTTAAAAAAATAATTTAAGTACATAAGCACATTGCACATAATAATATTTGACATAAATTGTTCTATCAGGAAAAAATAATATCATAGACTTGGGAAAAATATTTAAGTTTTTAGAGCGTTGTGTTCAAGAAGTAGATGGTAAAATTATGATATATTTGGAAAATCTACCGTTTTTGTATGTTCAAAAAATGATTTCTTCCAAAATAATTTAAGTACATAAGCACATTGCACATAATAATTGTTGTTATAATTCGTTCTATCAGGAAAAAATAACATCATAGACTTGGGAAAAATATTTAAGTTTTTATAGCGTTATGTTCAAAAAGTAGATGGTAAAATTACCGTCTATTAGTAAAATCTACGGTTAGGTTAGGTTTTATTTTTATAAGTACTACGAACAATAATATTTTGTGACGAACCAAAATAACGTCATTTTCACCCCATAATTTCGGTCTTAGGGTTGATAAAAATTTTCCAACGGTAAAATATGAGTAAGAATACCATTCTGAACATTTTAAAAAAAAAGATCAAGTCGATAAGTACTTTTTTAAAGAAAATATGTTATTTCATGTGCTAAATAATTACATATAATATTTGTTATAGTACTTTATGATCGTACGTTACTCTAACTCCATCAATCCCGACATACCGTGGCCAATTCTTCTCTGTATTTCTCAATTGCATTTATGTTCACAAAGATTAAACCAACACTCCATCCATCGACGACTAATGTTTGTTGAAATAACCTAGTCATTATTTTTAAAATAAAATGTATAATAATTTGGAACATTTTACCTAAAAATAATTCAATACAATACATTATTCGATGTATTTCTATATTTTAAGGGAGGCAAACTAAAATACCTACTTTTGTAATTTTAGGAAGATTGAAATTTGGGTATCGAGGGTGCTGGAACTCTGCCAGCACCGACTCGGTACCCAATAATGTTTCTTGACATGGGGGGAAAAGCCTCGTGTACCCCCAGTGTATTTTTTTGCATTTCTCTCTAAGCTACGCCAATATTCGTAAATTTTTTTTAATTTCTTTATGCAATTCAAACGATCACGAGTTGGAATTCTTGCTTTTCTCCAATAAATTAAACATTCGTCAATAACAAGTGCGGCACCGTCGTTTACATTTAATTTAACTAACCTCAGATTAAAAAAGAGTACACTTAAACAGTCTTTAATTGATTGTAATTTGCTACCCGTAATTTGATTTTTAATTGATTCTATTATTAAATTTGTCGTTTAGACATATTGAAAACAATTACGTAAAATACAAAAATATTAATATTGAATATCACAAAGGTAATGTTACACAAATGACTGTAATTTACTGACTAGTGACACAATAACCTACATTCTGGTTTGACGATAAAGTAATAACAGATAAAATCATTGTTATCGCGATAATTCGGAGCTAAAAATAAATAAAAAAAAAATTCTGAAAACCGTAAAATAAAATATAAAAAATCTATGTAACAAACCATGAAATTCAATGAATATTGTCCAACCGAAACTTACTGTTCTCAACCGACGTAATTTCCACGTCTCTGCTCTTCTACAATTTATAAAATTGTTATTACTTACTTCAGGGTTGACTGTCACTATGGAAATATCCTCTGTGACCCTTTCCATGGTGACGTCTATCGTTCCCACGGCGGGTAGTAGTGTCTAAAAAAATTATAAAAGTTAATAATAGAATACGCAATAAGTGATCGTGATACAACATAACACACACTCACCCGGACAATTGATAATGATATGCCCCGTTTTTCGACACCTATAGCACCCTGAAACACAAATTAGGTGATACACCTTTTAGTATTAGTTACTCTAGAATTTGTATTTTGTATACATCTACTTACTTCGTTTCTCTTTTTGTTTTTTGTAATTACCCATCCCGCCATGCTCGCGACGGTGGTATACAGGTGCCTTATACACCTGTATACCACTCGCGCTATAGTTGTGTATGTGTTTTGTAACATTCATTCTAAAAATAAACAATGAAACCAATTAATATTAAAATTAGTCATTTTTGCTGACACTATGCCACTGTTGTGCCGTGACGGGTTGGCCATGTGTAACTAATTATCAAAATGTCACGAGGCGGTTTTCGAACATTAAGCTATGGTTTCCTAGAAAAGCGGTGCCGTTATCTAGCGGCCGTCATTTTACGGTTGTTAATAACGGCCGTCTTTACGGTGACCAAGCTGTGGTTTCCTAGAAAGTAGTGCAACCGTATTCAATCGTAGTCACTCAGTACACACTCGAGCGTGAACTGATGAAAAATGGACGATTTGGACATAGCATTATTAGTATATTTGGATGATGAAGAGTCATCAGAAGACGAAAAAAATCGTTTGGAGGAGAGTATCATGTTCAAAAATCGTGATACTGAGGGTGCATTTCAAATTTTAGTGCGTCGCCATCTGCAGTGTAATGACGAAAAGTTTAGGCAATACTTTCGCTTAACACCAGTGTTATTTGACTATGTATTGAATCACATAAGAGATGACTTAACTTATAAACCATACAATAGACACAAAAAACCAATATGCCCAGAAGAAAAGTTGTGTATACTTGTGAGGTAAGTACACTGAATCACGTTTTATTATAAATTATACCTATAAATCTGTCTATAATGATAGTAATACTGGTATACTGGCCAATATAATATAAAATGTTTAATAAAGTATAATAAATCAAAATATTTATATTATAATATATCGTTATAAATTATAAAAACCACAAGAAATGTTTTATTTATATAAATAACAAGCGAAGTAACTTAATTAATTTTTAAAAGTATGTTATTGTAAGTTTTAATGATTAGTCAGTCTATCCTTTCAACTTAAAACTATATAAATTTTGCATAAAATATTTTACATTTTTAAAAACAAAATATAAATTTAAAATTAAAATTTTTCCTTTTCATGTTTTTGTTATTTTAATAATATGTATTAAATAACAAAATAAACTTTAACAAAACATGATAAACATAATGCAAAACAACATAATATTATATGAAAACAATTTCATATGTGAAAAAAAAATTGTCTATATATGTTTATGAACGTCATGTTCAACATAATGACATATAATATGCACTGTTAATTACAGATGATAAAAAAAATTGTCATTTTCTGTTAGGCTGAGAACACTTTCTGAAACACTTCTTCCATCTCTTTGTAATGACTCGTCATATATTTGTTCTTGATAATTTGACGTTCCACTTGTTGCTGGAGATGGCACCGTTTCTGAGTGTGTGAAGCTCATTGTTGAACTTGGCCTTGTTGATGAACCTGTCTGTCTTGAATCGCTTAAAATACTTTTTAATTCAGCATTACCGACCAATTGCGAAATTTGCATCCTTAATTGCACTTGTTCATACCGAGGAAGCTTCTTTACAATTTTTGCAATGGAGTTAAAGAAAAGGTCGGTTTCGTCCAATTCATTTTGAGCAGGAGTTGAATTTCGTTCAGCTATTTGTTTCAGTAACTTTAATCGTTCTTCAGAGTGTGTTAATTTTATCTTTTTCTTATCTTTCATAAAGTTGTCTTTCTTAAAATCCATTTTTTTATTACTATCTTCGTTGCTATTAATGATTGTCGTATTTTCTTCTGTTTCATCAATCTGGGTGATGTTTTCTTCGAGGTCAGCATGAGAGTTTTCCACAAATTCACTCTCGTCAAATCTAACGTCATCTCCAACAACATTAGTAATTGTGTTATGTCTTTGTGATGAAGGAAGGCTATCTAAGAAGGATAGGAGAACAGACCTATTCTTTGCTGCTTCTCCACCTGAACCAGTTCCAGGTTTATCTTTACGCCGAATATAATAATCCCTTACGTAGGCCCATCTTTTACAGCAGTCAGAACCTAAAACACAAATTGTAATTTAATTTCTTATTTCAGACATTTGGCCACAGGAGAATCTTTTCGGTCACTTGCTTTTCAATATCGAGTTAGTCATTCTTGGATAAGTGTCATAATAAAAGAAGTTGCTGAGGCTATTATTAAAAGGATGTTTGAGTTAACTATACCGTCGCCTACAGAAAATCAACTAAGACAAAACAGTAGTCAATTTTTTTCAAAATGGAATTTCCCGAACTGTGTAGGGGCGATAGATGGGAAACATATAAGAATAAAGGCTCCCAAACGAAGTGGATCATTATATTTTAACTATAAAGAGTACTATTCAATCGTTTTGCTAGCAGTCGTTGACGCGGATTGTAAATTCACTGCTGTTGATATTGGTTCCTATGGTAGAGAGGGAGATGCTGGTATCATAGGGAAAATGATAAAAAATAATGCATTCAATATACCAGCACCAAAAGTATTACCCGGAACAAATAATGTTGTACCCCATGTCATTGTAGGGGATGAAGCTTTTGCATTGCACGAAAACCTGATGAAACCTTATCCAAGACAGCAATCTGTACATGATCAATCAAAAGCTGTATATAATTATCGACTATCGAGAGCTCGGAGAACAACTGAAAATACTTTCGGAATTTTATGTGGTTATTTCAGACTCTTTTTCCTACCTATTGCTACTGCCCCAGAAACAACAGACAAATTGATTACATGTGCATGCATATTATATAATATTTTACTGGGAGCAAAAGTTCTTGCTCCAGGTCAAAAACATTTTGATGATGCACTCCCACTACCAACTGAAAATTTAATCCCCATAACAGAACACAATGTGGGTGCCAAAATGAATTACACTCAAATACGAGAAATATTCAAAAATTATTTCAACGGTCCAGGGGCTGTTGAGTGGCAGCATAGTTATGCAATGCAACATTAATTGTGATTATTATATAATATATTTATTGTGGTAATTACTTTTACTTAAAGCATCTGTTGTAGTATATTAATAATTAATATATTCATTATTCTTATATTAAAATGTATTGTATTAATTATTGCATATTTTGTTTACTGTACAATTATCTAAAATAAATTTTTTCTCTCCAAATTGGATTTGAGTGACACGTATTAAAATAGTATCTGTGACAACACGTACACGACAACATATTACTATTCTAAATTTTATTAAAAATTATGTTGAATAAATTAAATTTATGCTTGAAAAAAAAAAGTGTTTTATATTAAAGTTGTTAATATTTATTGAGTTTTTTGACTTTACTGAATTTTAGTACTATACACACCTGATTTTTGAAGTGTTATTCCAATTTCGTTCCACAAATTTTGTTTCATCTGGGCTTGTCTATACTCTTTCGATTTTATATTGTACAAAGCTTCATGATTTTTGACAAAATCAATTAATTGTTCGTTATTTTCGCTCGTCCAAGTCACGTTTCCACTCATTTTATTAATTAAATATGCACACCGCTACACGCGAAAAAACGTTAAACTACTGTTTATCACCGCTATGACGGACGTCATGCAACTGACGGCACCGCTATTTGACGTTACGGTGACACTCAACGTTCTCTAGGAAACCTACTCCGAGTTATTTATAGACAACGTATTGGTGACGTCAGTTACCGCTACATTACGGCCGCTAGATAACGGTACCGCTTTTCTAGGAAACCATAGCTTTAGTAATAAGTTAACGAATACAATTTTGCACCAAAAACAAAATCAGACACGTGGCCAACAGTAATCAATAATCATAGAGTATTAGTCACCTACAGTGAACTCAAAAAACTTGAGTTTTTCCGCAGACAATATTCTACAGACGTGTTGGGTGGATACCTGCATATGTTGTCTCCGTCTTACACACATACGGCATAGTTAATTTCCGTTTACCAGTTGTATGTAGGTATCGATAGTGTGCTGTTAGTTCTACAGTAAATTGACTTATCATTGGACTAAATACTAAGGAGATTATCTATGTTCTCTCGATCGACTTTTTACGATATTTAAATATTTAAGCGAGTTATGACAGTTATGTCAATTATAAGACAATGATGCATAGATAATAGCTAATAGGTCAATTCACTCGATCACAACAAACAGCACATTATTTAAAGTGGTAAAATAAAAAAAACGTATTAAAAGGTAGTTTGAACATAAATCATATTTCACCCGCAGAAATCAAACATAATATAATGAAAAAATATATATGTAGGTAATTATAAAAAAGTTACGGGAAGGTTAGTGAATATTGGTAGTGAATTAACAATCACAATTAAACACAAATTAGTCATGTGCCAAAAACAAAATCAGAACACATGACGTACAGTAATCATAGAATATTATTTAAAGTTAATTAAACAACAGTTTGATTTCTGACCTTTTAGCCCATTTTTTCAATTAATCCATTTTTGAATGATTCATATTCCATAATTAACAATGGCTTGTCGCACAGCATTAATTTTATTTTGTAAGAAATATCCGATTGGTAGTTTCCACTTACCATTGAAACTTACTAGCATAAAAACGAATGCCTCAGTGGCTGCTGTTTCACTACTTTCAACTGTAAGATTATCACCGTAATCACAGTATCCTGTAAATTTATGTGCTTGTTTGTCCCAGATGACTTGCTTTTTATGCTCATTGCATCAAAAACAAGATTATATTCTTTACTTTCTATTTCTAGAGTTTTTAAGAAAAACTTCAGAGAAAAAACAGGCTTCTCCATTTATAGTCCAAGATCTTATTGCTGTTGGATGAAGAAGTTTAAATATTGTGCTAGAAAAAAAATAGTACAAAATAATATATTATTTAATATTGTAGTGAATTTCCGAAATGCATACTAACCGACAGTACTCGTAAGCCTTTGGAGGGTAGTTATTCAAAGTAAATTCAAACTTTTTAATCTCATCGCTGTATCTTCGACCTTTAGCATTTTTATTTTTGTTTTTCAGGTGATTATTGAAGATTTCACAAGACATGCCATCGAAATCTTCTAATATCACATAACCATTTTCTTCAATTAAACCTTTCTCTTTTATGTCTTGTAAAAGTTCTTTCAAGTTATTAATTTTTTTTTTGTCTAAATACTCTTTTTTGTAATGTTTTAATCTTTGTTTTGTTTTTTTTTGGTTTTTGGAGTGATAATTGAGTTTTGGCGTCTACCTCTTTTTGGTGTTAGGTGTAATTTGAAGTTCTGGAAATAATACATTGGATGTTTTAGGTGTAGTTATAATATCACTGACGAATACAAATCTCTGAGGTGTGACTGGAAGTTCTTCATATAACTTGGACATACTCAGATCAAGAGGACCCTCTACTTCAACTTCATAAATTTCTATTATACTCTGGCAATGAACTTCTTCAGTTGATGAATTAAATACTGATGGTATTGCATTATCATTCAAACGTAAATTACCATTTTCCTTAAGGTCTTTAAGGTTTAAAATCACTAGGGAGAAAATGCTTACTACACAACCTATTATACTCAGATGGAATAAACCCTTATCTTTTAATAGTTTTCAACCAATTTTCAGTACGTTCTTTATTTTTTAAAGGAAAGCTGAACATTTTAGAAATATTTAGTTTGTATGTTTCATTGATGTCGGTTTTTTTATAAATATACTTACGCAAAAAAATGAATACCACCCTTAGGCACTCTTTTATTTGAACAGCCCCTAAAAATATCAATAACAACTGTACTTACTGTAAGTCCTGTACATTTATCATAATTTATATTTATAAAATAAAAAACAATATGCTTAATATGTGCATTAATCGTATTGGTGTACGAGTAATGTTTGCGAGTATATTATTACAAAATAATATCAATACATGAATTTTATTATTATTATTAAGATTCATCATGTTTGATAATCGTTTGAGATGCTTAATAGTTATAAATAGCTCGTGATTACCATATTATTCTATGCAGAGACCAATGACATGCAAATGCAATAAAATATTATGTTATATTAAAATATTAAATTGTTTATACAAATAGTAAATGGTTCTGAATTTTAGTTCGAAACAAATACATCAACGAACAATATGTTCCGATACCAAATAGTTCTAGATAAATATAAATCGGAAAAATTCTGAAGTCTTTCATACCAACAAAATTTAAAATAGTATAGCAATCCAAAATAATATCTTATCACTTGTCATATCAGTTAAATTTGTAAACAGTCACCTCTTAGATAACGATTGGCGATTGGAGACATTATTTTAGCCAGACAGTAAATAAAAACTGTTTATATCACTAGAAAAAAAACGGTTTATATCACTTTCATGGATGAAAATATCATATCAGTTTGGCTTGGAATAAACAACAATATACATTATCGCAAGCCGCTGAATTAAAAAATATTTAAATTTTTAACATCATATTATTATAATATACAAATACAATTTCACAACTGACCATTGCCGTACCTGGGGGGAGGGGGGAGCGGTGACCTCCCCGAAGGCCGAAATGTTTTCAACATCTCTTATTTTTAACCAAATATCGAAACATATAAATTCAATAAAATAACAAAATACATGTTTTGGACCCACCTCCGAAAAAAATTTCTGGATAACTGAATATAATACAATGACATAAATTTCCAATCATATTGTGTACTACTTTTTTAAGTATATTTATTAGGCAGTGTTAATGTGGTATTTAAATTATGTCGATTATGATTTATGAGTCTTAACATAGTAACTGGTAAGACAAAAAGTAATAACATATTAAACTATATAAGTATATACTTATGTATTATTTATGTGTTTAGGTAGTTTAAGGTAAGCATTATATAAGATTGTTAATTTACTATTCATTATTAATTATTATTCTCCTAGACTCTACGCCATACATGTCAACTTATTGAACTTAAATAAACAACTTTACATATAACGATTGATTATTTGAATAATTAAATATGGAAATAAATCATTATACGTTATTATTTATGTTCAATATCATTAAAATTGAAATATTTATCTCGTATAAATATTACTGAAGTTATATACTCCACATACATACTTACAACACAACGTCATCACAAACGGACCCCATCCTCACGACCTTCTATGTTAAGAAGGCGCTACACTGCATGCATTCTTTCTGTCTTACAAATGCATAACATAGCAAATTGTACGCTCAGCTCAATTCACTCTAATTTTTAAACTAACAGAACTAAATGTGATCTGCTGAGTGTAAAATTTGCTATATTATGCGTTTGTAAGACAGAGAGACATTTGGAGTATGTCATGGTATAACAGACTTAGAAACTACTATATTATAACATTCCGCATCTATTACACAAATACAAGAGCGCAAGATGGTTGGGTTGGGTAATTCACCATGAATTAGTTTTCAGTATAAGAATGTAAAAAGTTTTCAACTCTAGACAACTCTTTGATATAATTTTTTTCAGATAGATCAGACCACAAAGAACAATGTCATGTGTAACATGTTATACATTGAGACATTTGGACCTATAAAAAAAATTGATAAACGAAAAAAAAAATAGCAAATCTATGAAAATATAGTTATTCCCCATGAATTAGTTTTCAATATACGAATGTAAAAAGTCTCCAACTCGAGACAACTCTTTGATATAATTTTTTACAATAACGTCTAAGTCTAACGTTGTAATTCCGTAGACAATATTAACATTAGCAATTAAAGAGCAAAGACCAATTCACTGAGACTGAGTTAAAACATGTTTAAAATTAGAATTACCTTCTTTTGTTCTGGATCTTTAATTTATTTGTTTAGGTCACCTAAACACGTATCCACGGACATGGGAAAGAGGCTGGTGTGTACCAAATCGGCCAGTGACATTGAATCCCAAAGAGAAGCCAGTTATTGAATAATTAATAGATTACCTTATAGTGATTACCTTGGACAGATATTAAACAAAACTCTTGCAGAATGGAATATACCCAAAGAAAAAATAGCAGCTGTAATAACTGATAGTGGTGCAAATATAAAAAAAGCAATCACAGATTTATTTGGAATAAATAAGCATATTTCTTGTTTGGCACATACGGTGAACCTTATTGTAGAAAAGTCCATAGAAAAAACACATAGAAAATGCAATTACCAAAGAAAGAAAAGGTGGAGTTCTAGAATTAGTTGGAAAAGTGAGAGATATAGTTAAATACTTTAAAAAAAGTACTAAAGCAAGCGATGAGTTGAGAAAACGTCAAAAATTAGAAGGTACCTTACTTATCTTTATATAGTTAAGTTACTTTTTATATTATAACTATTAATATTATAGGTGTAATATAAAGTTGGGAAAGTTATAAAAAATATTTTTAACTACCTAGTTTTAGTTAAATTATCCTAAAAAATAACTAATTTATTTTATAGTATTCTTTTTATTGAACTAGTTGAGAAAAAATTTTGAAAAAAAGTAACTTGTCTCTTATCTTTTTACTATTACTGTCCAGAGCTTGTATAATATCATTTTTAATTTTATAATTTCATTGTTTCATATTATATTATTTCCATTTTGTAATTTGTAATTTTTTTAGGGACAAAAGAAGGAAAATATTTAAAACTAAAACTTGATGTACGTACCAGGTGGAACAGTGTATTCTATATGATTGAACGATTTCTGGAGTTGTCTAAACTTTTATCGGATATCCTTTTAACTAGGACAGGGACAGATGTACCAGAAATGGTCACTGCTAGAGAACTAAATTGTTTAAAAGAAATTTGTTCAATACTACAACCAATGGATGTGCTTACAAGAGAACTGTCTGATGAAAAGTATGTAATGTCAAGTAAAATAATACCCTTGATTTTTCGCATTGAAAGTCAAATTGAAAAACTACCTTCTACAAGTGACATGGCCAGAAAACTAAAAATAAAGTTATTAGAAGAGATTACTTATAGATGTGGTAAAATAGAACAAACCAATTTATTGCCAATATGTACATTATTAGACCCCAGATTTAAGGATATGTATTTCAAAGATCCATTAGCAAATTCCAAAGCACAAGAAAAGATTCTTCGAATGATAAAGGCATCATCTGAACTCTGAAGTAACTTCAGACTTACCAAGTACAAATTCAACTTCCACAGAGCAAACAATAACACCAGAACCTAATTGTGACCAATTTGATCTTCGGAGTCCACACAAACGCCTACTTGAGGTACAAAATAAGAAATCAAGAACAGGATGTCAATGTAATAATAAATAAATATTTAACTAATAACTATGTTCCTTGGTTAAATATAATATTTATTTCATTATTTCATTTTCAGATAAAGATGAACTTCGTACATATTTGGAGGGTAATGCTATCCTTCGGAAAGATGACCCGATGATAGAATGGGAAAATACAAAAACTATCTATCCAGCACTTTATAAATTGGCAAGAAAATATTTATGTATATCTGCTACGTCTGTTCCATCTGAAAGACTTTTTAGCAAGGCGGGGGCAACAGTAAGCCAGTCAAGAAATAGACTTCTGGGATCAACATTATCTAAGCTTTTATTCCTGCAGTCATTAGATGAAGAGTATTGGACACTTTAATTTTTTATGTATATGTTATGTTATTTACACAGGTATTTTTTTTTTTTGAAGTTATACTTCTTTACGCACGGTAGTGAGGAAAAAAAAGCGAACGGGCGGCGCGTACGAACGGGCGGCCGTACGAACGCGAAAGCGTACATGTCCGTAAATAAATAAATAAATAAATATTGTCATGGTAATGTTGTTTTATTATATATTATAATATATATATATATATATATATCTGTATATATAAAACAGTAAGCTGATTGACTGCATTGATTCAAACCATTGGACGGATCTGGCTGAAATTTGGCATACAGTTAGCTATTATGATGTAGACGTGCGCTAAGAAAGGATTTTTCGAAATAAATAGGTGCTCAAACAGGGACATTGAGATTCAAGATGGAAATTGGAAATTTTATTTTCATTTACTAATAGTTGCCATTGGTTACACTCTACATTAGAAATTAGCATTTATTTATTGGTTGCCATTGGTTATTCGGGCAGATCAGGTACAAGCTTGCATCAAATAAAATTATTGAACATTGCCTACCAGGGTGGCTGAGTTGCCACTTACCCAGCAAGTTACACCCAAAAGGAGTTCAACAATCATAATTTTTTTAAGAGTTGTGATTTCTTACGAGCAACCAAATTTGTTATATTAATCCACCGTATTATATCAAAATAAACTTGGTATAACTTTGATAATTTAGAGTTAAATCATACACTTCCGTACAAACAGCACGGGGTAGATTGCCTACCTGATAATGTACTGCTGCGATTCAGAATTTTTATTCCGGGCAACGGAAAAGATAAGATAAATGTTGAACACCATACACTGAATATTGAATAACGAATTGATCAAAGTTTGAGTCATAACTCATATTGAGTTGATACATTTAAAGGGCGACGAAGTGCACGGGATCAGCTAGTATTATATATTATAATCGGGCCATACTAATTAATATGAATAATTAATGATCGATTATTATTTATTTTTATTATTAGTATTAGTATTCACTCACAAATCTATTGTCTGGATAAAAACAATACTACAAACAATTATCCATCGATCTGTCGAATACAAATATAAAACAAATAATAAAACTATCAATAATAAATAATTCCGGATACTTCTTCTCATTTTTTAAATTAATTAATATTTTTTTTCTTTCTTTTTCACTCACTCACGTGTACCATTCAAAAGAAGTTTAACTTCCCGCGCGCGTACTGGTAACACACATGGTTTTTTTTTTGTTTTATTGAAAGAACTGAAAAAATCCTAAATTGTTACATTACCTATTAAAATTTATTTCATTTTTTCTTAAGTTTTATATTTATAATGTTATGTTATTTACTTTCTTTTTTTTGTTGTATTGAAATAACTTAGTATATAGAGCTTATAATAGTACAACAAAATCCTAAAGTTTCTACTATAACTGTGATTAGACTACCAACTCAAAGACTGAGTCTTGGTTGTTATTATTTTTAATATTATATTATTACACTATGTATTATATATTTTTACATTATGTAAAATTTGTTAATCAAGATTTGATTCATTTGTCTTTATATTTATAATGTTGTTAATTGTTTTTCATTGAAAAAAGTTTTGTACTTTTAAATTAAAATAAAATAAAGCAAGATGAGGAAAATTGTTCAATATCATTTGAGTATAACATTATAACAATATTTTAATTTTTCAAAGATAAATGTCATACACAATTAATGTACTTAGTATTTGAAATAACATTTCTTAAAATCAAAATTTATTATTTTGATTTGTGCCAAATGGTCAAATAAATATGAGATACACCAGTGATTCTTAACATATACAATTAAATGTGTTCTTTGTGTACCATGGGAATCACCTGTAGGTACCTCTCAAGTCTCAATACAAAAATGAGATATTCTTTATATTTTTTTCATGACAAATGGGTCCAAAGATTTTTAGAAACGGCTATGTTCCAGCACTTAAGTCACGGGTAATACACAGGTACGGTTCTAGAAGGTTCTGGAATTGCATTTTCGTATGGGCAACAGTAGGTAGGTGCATTTGAAATTATAATAAAAATTTAATTTTTCAATAACGGGCACCAGACATTTTGGTATGGGAAGCTACCCACCCAACCTATACACTAGAACCACCACTGGTGATACTCATGGTATGTTATGAAATATTTTTAAAATCAGGTCTGGTAGCCAACGTGTTAAGGCTAACTCAATATACAATTATTGAGCTTCTACAATACTAGTACATCGATATTTGCATTATCAATATATCGGTTTTATAATTCTGTGGCAGAGATGTGGCGAACCGCCGCCACAGTTCCAAGAATATTATTTTATCAATATTTGCATTATCGATATATCGGTTTTATAGTTCAAAGAATATTATTATATCGATATTTGTATTATCGATATATCGATAACTTAAAAAAATTGCGCATCCCTATCCGTTGAAGTGTTGAACACACTGCCCGCTTCGTGCTCCGCACTGGCATTTATACCCTGGTCTCGCAATCCGAAATGTCTGTGGTTGGTGATTGGGCGTGGGCAACCTAACGCTGGTTCTGTCGTGGTGTTCTTATTTATTAATTTTTTGACGAATACGCGGGTCATCAATAAGATTCGTTTGAGCAATTATGTAACTGTACATTATTGCAACCGGTGTCCCTTGTGAACCGATCTGACCCGCACCTTACATAATATATAGATCGGGGCGATACAGTCGTACGTCTCCCGACGTCAAATGTGCTTGGTGCAGCATTTTATTCGTGACGATCGACTCACGATAGTGCCGACCGACTGTATTCCGGATCTCATCATATTATGTAAACAACTAGTTGGCTCACTGCCCAGTGTGATGTCAGTTTTAAATAAATTTAATACTATTAAGAAATATTATAGAATAGATAATTTTATTTAAGAAAACACAAGAATAATTATGGTGCCAACAAAGAAAATACTTCGCATGGCGCGAACAACACTCGTAGGTGATTCATCATGTCCACCGTGGCCATTCTCGACACGTATTTCACCAGGTGTGATATGTATACGGCCTTTGCAATTTATGTCTCTTCTACGACATCTGTAGGATTTAGTTGTATCATTGTTTATCAATTTGTCAAAGACATACTGGAATCCTTTATGGCACTTAACATCAGAATTTCGGTTGCTTTTAACCTCAGAATCCATGTTCAAAAATAATATTACTTCTCTTTTAAATTTAAAAACATCTTGCTAGGAGAAGAAATAGTCTAATGACGAGCTATATTGATTAATAATAACTAGAGTGTACACTTGTATGTACCCTTCCACGTATACAGTAATTAAGGAGTTCTTGGTAAACTAAATAAATTTATAAGTTAATAAGAATGATGACCCAAAAATAATTGCCAAAACTTATTAGTTTATAAGTTATAAACCCTTTCAAAGTTCACAATTTTTGATGTTTTAGGCATCCGTACAACTCAATATTTTACTAACTATGTCTTATAATTGAAAAGGTGAAGATGCATATTTGTGTGTATGTAAAAAAATGTTTTTATGTACACTTTAGGAAAACAAATTCTAGCTTGGTGCTTAACTGCAGAAGATGATAAGATGAATTATGAGAAAAATAAAGAAAACATTAAAAGATCTAATTTAAAAATTACTCCATAAACATAAAAAGATATTAATCTTCTTAACGTTGCTGGGCAATAAAGGTTATTCACTTATTTATAATAAGTGTTGACCAAAAGCGCGCTTTTACCTATAAAACGTGCATCTCTAGTCGTACAATATTGTAGTGTTTCTCGGTGTATGCTCCTAGCCCAAACGATTAGGTGTATTATGTGGTTTCGTTGCTGCGCGTGATCGTTTACTTCACAAAATATACCTATCTCCGTCTCGTTAAACAATCGAGATTTCCGAAACGGCATCAGTGGTGCGTACCCATGGCGCCGTCTGCAGCTCATTGTGACGATACGAGAAACATACGGTCTCACAAAATTAACCACCATCAATTAGCCCAACTCAATACTGTTGACACAACAATTATCTTTAACATTGATCATATTTCGTACGATAAGTAGGTGCTCATGACGACCAACAGATTTGATTAGTTCATTATCATATGAATCATACTAATTAATTATGTATCGTGTTGCCTTGATATTATGTTTATATTGTTAAATTTGATTACAATGTTTCTTGAGTCTATTCAAATTTAGATCATTTATTTTATGAACTAATTGAAATGTTGTCAGTAATTATACTCACCAATCAATACTAAAATAATGTCATGTTTTATAGGATGCTTCAGAACATATCATAACTTTAAAGGTGCATGACGCGAGGGAAGGAACTTTTCTTAACTTTAAATTAAAAAAACGAACGTCTTTAAAAAAAGTAATGAAGGTGTTCATACAAAGAAGTGTAAGTATAAACTATTAAAAAATATTTTATTTTGTTGTAACCGTTTTAATTCCAGTTACTGAATTTTAGTCTACATGACTGTTATGTGGATACACTGTTGAACTTATTTGTTGTCTTACTGTATTATCATTATTTCAAAAATGCATGATATCAAAACTTATCGTTAAATTTAAACCATTATATTCTTAATGACTTAACATAATTTAATTTAGTGAAAGAATTGTTATCAATCGCTGATTTATGTTATTTATTTTTTAGATTCGTTATTAAGAGTTTATTAATTATTTTAAATTATTATTAAAGTTTATTTATTTATTTGTTATTTATGTATTATTAAGCACATTTGTATATTAAATGAATTGTCTGTGAGTCAGACGCGCGTTGTATATATAATGATTATCTTTTTCCCTTTTAAAATCTAAGCTATGTTCTCATAGTTGCTGGAACACTTTACTACAAACAAGTAATATGTAAGTACATATGCTATAAACATCAGTACGAACATTATCAATGTCACCGCCCAAGCTATATTTACTTGTCCTACTGCGTCGTCAGTTATTTTGGCGCATTTCTCGAAGTACAGCCCATAATCATCTGAATATGGCATTTTCGTTGTGTACTGCAGAACTTGGTTGGATGACAGACCTTGTGTTGATAGTGAATATATGACTTTATCACCATTGGCGTTCACTCCGTAAATACTGTCCGCAACACGGTCGATGACATCAATTCCATTGACATCTTTCGGCACAATGTAGAATCTAGTACCGTTACTTAGCACACAACCGTAGTTGTATAAAGCGATAGTATGAACCGACGCTATTTTAAATGACGTGTTAGTGCGGGTGTCAACATATAGGTAAGTTGTCATAGCTGCACTCAGGAGAAAGAAAAATGCTACACAGTGAGCACATCTGACCATGAAACAAGCCATCTTTGATTTAAGAAAAGTGAAAAATCGTGTTCAGTAAATTGTGTTCCATTATCCGACACTAATGTAGAACAAATTCCAAAACGTGCAAATAGTGAACGTAGAATAGTAATTGTTTTGTTAGTGGTAATCTGTTTCATGGGAAATACTTCAGGCCATTTTGTAAATGCATCAACTATTACTAAATAATACATATTATTGACTGGTCCAGCATAGTCTATATGGATTCTTTCAAATGATTCTGCTGGTTCCTATCACTGGTGTACTGGTACCTTAGATGGGTTATTCATTATTTTGTTGCATTCTAAACAACTTTTGGCTACTTCAACAATATCAAGGTCAATACCTGGCCACCAACAATAAATCCTAGCTAATGCCTTTATTTTATTAACTCCAAAATGTGCTGTGTGTAATTCTTCAAGTATAGTTTTTCTAAATATTTTTGGTACGACTACCCTAATCCCCCTCATAATGCAGTTGCTCTGTAATGAGAACTCGGTTTGATCAATACCAAAACTATACTGTTTCCTTAGTAATTTCCCAGATTTTATTACCATGTAATATTTTTAATCGAAAATTAATTAGAAATTCAATGTATTTGATCAAGCATTCACTTATGCGTCAAGAGTAAAACATCCAAAAAGTAGCCTGATTATCAATTTTATTTGTGTAAGAGTAGGCCTCTTTAAGAAGTTTAGTAGTAAAGTAATAGTATAGTAGCAAGTAATTTTTGCACAATGTAATCAAAGCTTACCATATTATTAACAAAAAATAAATGTATTCAATAATAAACATACATTATGTATACTAATTACATTTTAGATTCTGAGCGAATCTCAGTGTATAAGGTCCAATTTTTGTTCTGGCCAGTGCAATTATCAGCCCAGAAAATGAAATCATGTACATCCCTTTGGTTACTAATTAAAGCCAATATTGAATCTGTAACATTTTCAGGTTTAGCAATGGCTTCATGCTAAAGTACACAGTGGCATAAGGCATTTGGTTTTAATTGAGCAAATGTTTCATTAAATACCACTAGACTACTGGTGAAAAAAGAAGATTTAGTATCTGGCATATTAGGAATTAATATAACTTTTTGTAAGTCCATTGAGTAGATACAAGTTGACTCGATACTCAGCTTAGAATTAGTTGGTAGTTGGAGAACAAAATTATTATTCAAAAGGGTTGGATCATCTGTTTACTATCATATTGGTTATGAAACAGTGTATTAGAAGTGTCATAGTTCTATATAAAAACAATAATGTTAATAACAATAACTAATTAAATATTATATATTATTAATATTTATTTATTCAACAACAACAACATAATATAAAATATATAATTAACATTTGACATTTTAAGTTGATACCTACTCTCTATAAGCATGGCTTGTGGTGAGAGTAGGGAGTCTTAAAAATTAATTACAGTAATTACTAAAAAATATAACAAATAGGTTCAGTACAAATATAATAAATACAGATATTAAATAAGATTTTCAAAGGACTGCGTATACATATTTTTTAACATTTTTTTAAATTTAACATCATTATCAATCAATTTGAGATTTGTTGGTAGTCGATTAAATAGGTTTATCCCTCTGTTTATATAATAATTACTCATCAATGATGTGTTATGTTTAATTAAATTTAAGTTTCCATTGATCATTCCTCTTGTTTTATACATATTCAGGGATTCATAAACTGATTTATTCATGTATATTTTTAAAATTGATGTTTTATTGTATAACTGTTCCAATGATAATATTTTTAATTTTTGGAATATAGTATTTGTGTTAATTTCGGAATTATAAGTATTTTTCATTATTACTCTGACGAGAGTTCTATGCGTTACATTAAGTGGTTCAAGTACATTTTTATAGGCGGAGCCCCATACTATTATGCCATACATTAAGACAGACTGAACTAATGCAAAATAAACCATTTTTAGACTTGGAATGTCTAATATACTACGTAGTTCTTTGAATATATAATAGCATTTCCTTAAGCGTATTATATACATGTATTATAATTTTTTTTGTTTTTAGATTAGATGTTGAGTTAAATGTGGTGTAAATAAAAAATAAATAATACAATAAATATTGTATTTCAACAGTTATGAAAATTTGATATATACTAGTGCATTCAGAAATTTTACAATTTAACAGATTTCCATACCACCTTAGCATTGCATTCAACAAAACTGGAGGTACTGCATTTTGGCGCGTTTTTATTATAGTGGTTTCCCAACTTAGGCCTACTCCACTTATTTTATTTGTTTCTCAATTATCCTAAACTAATTACAATATGTATATTATACTTACTTTTTTAATTTTCTCATCAATACTTACTTTGTAATCTTTTTGAATAGGATATACACAAAAGACATTCAAAATTACCATCAATATCTAATATCTGTTCTGCATCTTTCATACATTGTACTATTATCCATCTGTTACATGCATCGCATTGAACCCAATCGACATTGTCCTCTTCTATATGTCTGTGTTGTTTATCCGTACGGCCACAACACAAACAGATATCCCTCATGAAATCAGATTCTTCCAACAATAGATCTTTTAACACCTCTCTATACACTATTGGGCAGAATGCTTCATTGAATTTAACGTTTTCAAACTTATTTTTTAATATGCACTCTGCAAAGTACAACACATAAACTCCACAGTTATAAAAATCAGTGTGTGGTTGTTTGGGATATTTAGAAAATTTTTGAAAATCCAACTTCGGCCAAACCTTTCCTACCTCTCCATACACATGATTTTTTTTCAGTTGACCTAATATATTCACAAAGGTATGTCTACATTTATTATATTCCATAGTTTCATATGGGTCAAAAAAATAGAATTTATGATTTTCAAAGTCTGCAAACATAATCACCCAGTGGTTACCCCTTACTTGTAATGGCATTACAAGTAAGCCGTTTTCTGGAACAATTATAGTTTTCATATTTTAAATATTTCTATTTAAATAAGACGTTATTTCACTGCACAATATTTTAATTTTATTCTTAAACTCGCAATATTTCTCTCTCATTACGCCCAAAGCTATCTCAATAACATAATTATCTAGCCACATTTTATTTTCAATCTCATGAATTGATAGTGAGTCAAAACTACTGAAACATAAATCATAACACTTAGTTATGTCTGTAACAATATAATAACATCCGACTATATAATCTAATCGTGTTCCGTCTTTCTTCAAAACAGGGCCATAATAATTTTTATCCTTTGGTAATCTGGTTTTGTATAAATCCATTTTGCATCTCATTGAGTCATCCATTTTGACTTTGGGATTTGAGATGATGAATGAGCGGAATTTAGAATTTGACGTATTGATAGCTGGAGTTGAAATTTTAATGTTGGATTTTGAATGGTGATGATTGAGTTGAAAAAAAGAACAAAAAGAAAATGGCGTAAGGCCGAAGCTTATGGCTTGATGTTACTTGCCGACGTGCGCATGTCGCAAGGTGGTCGACAGCTTTTCGCCCTCGCGCCGTAGAGCTTGTGGTAATAACATGAATTGCCCGTCTTCGTGGTCGGCGGTGACGATGTGACCGTGACCGGCGGTGACGGTGCGACCGTGGCCGGCGGTGACGGTGCGACCATGGCGGTGGGCACTATCAGTTTCTTAAGTCGTTCGACCTCGGCCGTGAAACGTGCGACTTGGAGGCTTAGTCGCTGGACCTGCTCGTTCAACTCGAGTACGGGCTCCAGCGATGCCGGCGCGAAGACGACCGGGTTGAGGCGCTGCCACCAGCTCGTAGGTTTTTGCGCCGGTGTAACGTGCTCGTCGTTGAGCTTGCTCGACATGGCGCGTATTTGGCGCAAGTAACTTGTGCGTCGCTGGAGCACGTGTTCCGCGTGCGTGTTCGTTTTGTGTGCGAGGTCACCAATGTGGCGCGCGTAGGTTTTAAAAGGATGGTACAACTTACGCGGCCAACATATACAATATACGAAGTAATGAGCTCTGAGACGGTTTAACGTAGAAAGATATTTATTGTTACTAGTCGGAAATAATTATCACAGAGTAAATAAAAATCACAGAGGCTATGCCGGTCGCTAGCAGCGGGGACGGTGTCCAGTCGCGGAGTGCGTGTTACGGGTTGCGTACTTGAGGGAGACCCGTGGTCGTGTTGCTGAGTACCAAGGACGTGTAACGCGAGCACGTGGACTGAAAAGATGGCGGTTTCTCGAGCGAACTGTTAGGGCGCGATAAACTCGAGGCGTGTTCGTGTGCGACGTCGTGTTAGCCGTTTCGCGGTTACGGACGGAGAGAGCGTTGGCAGCCGCCCGACCCTTCGCGGTCGCGAACGACGCGGAGGGCCGAGCGGTGTTGCCAACACAGGGAGCGCGACCGACATAGGGAGGGAGTATGTGGTGAAACACTGGTTCGCCACAATATCATTGTGAAATACAATGGATTTTCTTCAAAACTAGAACACATTTGTAATGTTTCTTTTACCCGAACAACTATATTTTCAAAACGGGACAAAAATTTGGAATCTTTGTACCGGTAAAACGTCTTAGCATCTCTTATTTGTTCATCTAATGTACCATTTTTTTGTTTTGTGATTAGATCATCAACTAGACTACTTGGATTATCATCATTGAGCTGCTTCAAGGTATCCATGTCATCATCCACATCTCCAGTCTTGCTGGGTGACAACAACACCGTTGTAACTGCAGTGAACCATTTGTCCAGACATTCCGTGGTGGTTATGTTGAAAGCTGGAGAGATACACGCAGTTTCCAAGCACGCCAAAGAGCCATTTGTTATCTTCTTTCCATTTCCTTTGTAATATTTATGAGCATCGTCAGAGATATTTTTAATTAAATGACAACAACAGACTTTTCAGTGCGTTGCAATTAAATAATTTCCCCTCATACATGAACTCATAAAATTTATTCAAATACTCAACGACCTCGTTACATTCGTTGAATGCTCTCACATACCCTTTTAATATTGCTGTTGAAAAGTCACTGACAACGTGTGCTGTGAACTTTGTACCACACTGTTGTTCATAGAATTTTCGAAACTGTTCGCCAATCTGTAATCGCACTAGCAGTCTGCGTAGTCGACAGATATTCTGCTATTGGAATTATCCTCTTATTGCACACGGTGACAGCCGCATAATACAATAGTAATTTTTCTTTTATTTTTCCTGTTTTGAATAGCGTTGGATCTCTTGTAGTTTCTCTCACCACCCCGCCAGTCGCATCTACATGAATCGTAATACATTGTATTTTTCTTAAAAGGTCTACTTGATCTTGACTAAATAAATAAGTTTCAAAATATTTCTCTTTTGGATCGGATACATACTGAATAAATTCTGGAAAATTATTTTTCAATAAACACATATCAACCCTGTCTTCAGCTGCTCGATCATTAAGACTCTTTTGCTCTTGAGACACCTTATAATATACACGATCAGACCTGATGTTACACAAGTTACCACGCTTTAGTTTATTAGGAGATGCTTTTAAAATATATTTTTGACGTAAACTCATCGGTGGGCAGTACTTTGACATTTGTTTTTGTATTTGTCGATTTTTTCCTTTCAAGAATGTAGTCAGTTTACCATAGTGGCTGTAATTGTGACTGTTACTCAGAACTGTTATTTGTGCCGAACTGTCATTTGGTTTTTTCTCTACCACAAGTTTAAACTGCTTACAAAATTCATGTCGACATATACCATAACATGTTAAACCTTTCTTGGTAATATTTTTATTCTTGATAGTCAATACACAAGAGTTATTTACAATTTCAAATTTTTCGCGTAACAAATCGTTTATTTCATTTGAAATTACATTATTTTTTTCCATTGAGTTATCAACTATGTGCTTAAATTTTTCATCAAGTAAGCTAATAGTTCCTTCCACAAAATTACACTTTCTGTAACACATTACCTTTTTCATTTTATTTCCGTCCTTTAATGACCTTAATTTTAAGGGATATACATTCTTTGAGTCCTTTGGCAACGCTTTCAGATCTGCTTCTGGTGTGTTACACACAGATATAGATTTAATTTTCTTTTCTGGGGTAAACAAATTTCCAGTAAATGAAACATTTAATCTACGCTTAGGAATGGTTAACATTTCCTCATTGACATTAGTTGCTTTAATAGAAACTGTATTGTTATTATGGCCAATTTCTTCTGGCTTGTTACACACAATTATAGAGTCATACATATTTTCTGTGGTATACAAGTCAGCTCCAGTAGAGGAAATATTGATTTTACATTTAGGGGTGGTAATCATTTCCTCGTTGATATTAATTTCTTTAATAGAAACGGTATTCTTATTATTATCAATTTCTTCCGTTGTATTACAGCAATCATCTTCAATTTAAATAGGAATACTAAACAAACCATGGCTATATGTAATACAACTAACTTCATTGATTTCAAGAAAATGTTCATTCAAATCAATGTCCATATCATCTGCAATGTATAATTGTTTTCCTTTTTAGGAGAATCATCTGTAAACAATTTTCTCTTTACATACACCACCGCACCCTTATTTAGTTCAGTTGTTTGACCTAACATACAATTTTTTTTTTTAGATAATTCTTTAGGATTATCAGCAATTTCATTTTCTTGGAAACTATTTTGACATCGCTGAAATTTTAAAAATCCAATAAATCCTAAAGTCCGGACTTTATTTTTAATAATTTGCAAAGTGAATTTACAACCTCTGTCTCAAAAGAACAAAAATTATTTTTTGCATAACCATTGTCTTTGAGCATTTTAAGAAAGCGTGACTTATTATCTGACTTACCTTCTAATAACTTTCTGAGAGATGAATTGGGTCTTTTCAATGCATTTACTAAATTCTTTTTAGCGTTATTACAATTACCTTTATTTAATATAACATTACAAATATCACTTATTGCTTCATTGGAAACACTTATGTTTCCAAATTCTATTGTAGGATATTTTTCTTGGATATAATGTGCTATTTCTTCCAAATGTTTTAATACAGACATTTTAAAATAAAATTAATCTTACTCTTATAGTATGAATCTATCAATAGTGAAATAAATCCTTATATTATATCAACAATACTCTTATAGTAGGAACCTTCCTCGACTACTATTAAAAGTAAAATATATCCTTGAATTATATCTATAATACTATTATTTTTTTTTTATATATATCCTTATATTATAACTATATTACTATTGTAGTAGGAGCCTTCCTCGACTACTATCAAAAGTAAAATAAATCCTTAAATTATAACTTACTATATTTAAACTATTATACTACTTAACTATCTATTGTACTATTTTTTTTTTATCCTTATAATATTATAACTACAATATTAATGTAGTAGGAACAGTAGTAAAACAATTTGGCCTTTGCAAGTATATACCAATATTGTTTAACTTTTATCCTTATTATATGATAACTATAATATTAATGTAGTAGGAACGTTCGTCGACTATTATCAAAAGCAGAACAATTTGGCCTTTGCGAGTATATACCAATTGTTTAACCTATTAAATAATAAAAGTAACTTTATAAAATATTGTCTTTATGTACAATTTATTTTATTATGTGATTGTAAATTAAATTGTATATCGAATAAAAAATATAAATAACCTAGTAGGTAATTATAAAAAGTGAACATTTATTTATTAAGATTACATTATTTATTTTATTTTTTTAACATTTATTATCAAAACATAATCTGTAAATCCATTTACAATAAGCATTTTTTTTTTTGTAAATTACAATTAAATATTTATTTTCATGAAATTGTATTTTCTGTTAATGTGTATTATTAAAAATACTTTTAGTTGTATAGTGTAAATGTACTGTAAGATTAATGTATTTGTAAATATCTTTGTTGTGGGTACTTAGTATTAATTGTTTATAACATAGAGTTGTGTAATAAGTAGTACTTTTGTTTTTTTAATTTATGATAAAACTTTTGAATATATTAATAATAAATAAATTATGAATGGTAATAAATACATTTATGAGACAAAACATTTATAAATACCAGCGACATAGTTAAAGGAAGGGGACATAAGGTTACTAAATTAAAAGTACCATAAGCAAAGATCACTGGTTACCAATTGTAAAATGTTTTTAATGTGTGATATTAATAAAATACTACTTTACTAATTTATGACACTGAATGTCTGAAATGTACGGAAATTGTAATTTAATTATATTATATTATTTAATTTTCGATAAAATTTTATTTTTTATTTATACAAATTTATATAATTGTCTTAAATGTAATAATAAAATGTTATTTATTTATTTTAGTTAATTTTTTTATATTTTTTACTATTATTATGTTGTTTAAATATTAAGTGGTTTAATGATTTTAGAACTTTGAAGAAATGATACTGAAATTTACGCAATTTTACCAACTATTCAATACATACATATTGTAAAGGACAATTATAGTAATTTAAAAATATAAACGATTGTTGCATTCAGTTTCCACAGTAGTTTACAAAAATTGTTTTCATTAAATAAATATATCGTAGATAATCGTGATTTTTCCAGTAATATGTCATATTTATAAAAAAAAAACCATTTTTGTAAATAACTGTTGAAACTGAAAGCAAAAAATGTTTATATTTTCAAACAGGTATCAATTTCCTTTACAATAAGTATTTATTGAATAGTTGGTAAAACCGCATAAATTTGAGTATCGCTCCTCAAAAGTTAAAAAACCAATAAAACACTTAAAATGTCAACATAATACAGCAATTACGAACAAAAAAAATAATATGTTGTTCTTACGTATAGGTGTACAATGTAATAACTCTCTAAAAAAAAATTCAATTTTTATCGTTGATGTGTGAAAATTAAATATTATAAAAATTTATAAAAGTTTGAAAATATCAATCAAATAATATATATATTTTATACAAATAGCTTTAAGTCAGGTGTATGTTAATTAACTCTTGAAATTCTGGTTTAAGTGTCAGAATATTGTAACGATAAATTATTGATAAAAAAACCAATAATTTTTTAGTTTAAAAAATGGTACTTTTGGCACGCTAAATTCGTGTTTCATCCCACTGTGAAACGCACAGTTTGCGAATACCATTAGATTATAGGATACTGAAGATTAGGTTAAAAAATAAGAGGTACTGGGCCATCCCCCCTCAAATCAAACACCGGATGTATAATAATTTTGATACGAAGCCCCCGTCCATAATTACATTTATTAGCAAAGAGACACCTGTACAATGTACATTGTATACCTAATGCGCCAAAATCAAAAATACATTTTCAAACCATATAAAAATGTGATTTGTCATTTTACTTTAAAATAATCATTCAAAGAGATATATTATAATTATATACAATAGATAATAGATATTCATTTATATAGTAATTTCATCAGACTTATATTAGAATAAAATATATATTATTATATTTATGATGTGTATTGGTTATAATCAGGGCTAGAATTTATATGCAACACCATGTTTTTTTGCGACTTCTGATTATTGATTTTGTCAGTAATGTCCACGAATCATCTCATGATGAGATAAATGGTGGTATTTTTATTTTGCATGTTTTTGCATATTTTGGATGAAATACATATTCGACGCTATCTGATTACATATTTGGAATTCCCAGTCCAATACGGAGATTTTCGTACTACTTAGACCGACGCAAAATGATTGTAGGTATTATTAAAAAAATGTCCGGCCGTCCGCGGTTTCGGGTGCCGCGAGATGTACTGGCGAGGAACCGTTCTCCCGCGAGCTCCTGACAATTTTCCGAGAGGATTCGACGCTATCTGATTACATATTCGGAATCCCCAGTTCAATACGGAGATTACCCGACTACACATCAACTTCACAGACTGGTTGATGCAATATCCTACACTTTGGAAAAAAAGTTATACTGCACATGTGCGTTTCTGGACATATCTCAGGCCTTCGATCGGGTCTGGCACGATGGCTTATTATTTAAACTTAAAAGCTTTCTCCCTCCAACCTACTACCTAATCATCAAATCTTACCTCTCAAATAGACATTTTCAAATTCGTTCCGGTTCTGCCCTCTCTGACATAGCTGCCATAAACGCTGGTGTGCCTCAAGGAGGCATTCTCTCTCCTAGTCTCTACAATATTTACGCGTCAGACCAGCCCAACTCACCCTTCACATCTGTGGCCGATTACGCGGATGATAAGGTTTTAATTTCAATCAATGCTGACCCTCTCATTGCCTCTGTAAATTTACAAAACCACATATACTCGATGGAAAACTGGTTTACAAATTGGCGCTTTAAAGTCAATCCAAACAAATCGATACATACAACCTTTACTCTCCGACTTGCCCCCTGCCCCAGCGTCACCTTATACGGAACCCCAATCACCTCCTCATCAAAAGTCAAGTACCTGGGCCTCACTTTCGATCAAAGACTAACCTGGGCCTCTCACATCAAATCCAAAAGGTTAACTTTAAATAACTGACTAAGAATGCTAAAAACTCTGCTTCATAATAATAAACACTCCTCTCTAAATGTCAAACTGCTCATCTATAAATCCCTGCTCAAACCTATCTGGCTCTACGGGATTCAGCTATGGGGAAACGCAAAAAAGTCGAACCTAAATAAAATTCAAACGTTCCAAAATATCGCCATAAGGAAACTCTCGAATGCCCCTCCTTATGTATCAAATCTCTCACTCCACACAGATCTAAATCTAAAAACGCTTAACGAAGAAGCCAAGGCCTACTACAAACGATTTCACGCCAGAACAAACTATCACAATAATCCTCTAATCAAGAACCTTGCGTCTGTTACCATACCCGGTAATCCCCCAAGGCGCCTAAAGCGTAAGTGGTGCCGAGATCTTTTAATTAACCATTTATAGGGCATAAGGTGCATTTACTTTGTTTGACCCAAAATTTGGTTTCCAGACTCACATACATGTATATTTTAATGATTTTGAAAAAAAAAAAATTTTATACTTAAAGTTTGGAAGTTATAGGGTGGTAAAATAGTTTACCACTGATCATCTAAGACTTGTATTATCACTAATTGGTTACTGGTAAATTATTTTACCACTTGACTACTTAATAGGAATACAATAAAATAATAGTTAAATTTGCATATAAAATGGTTTTTTTATTAACAATATTTAAAGATGATATAAAATTTAAATTATCACACATTTATAAATGACTCTATACTTTTCAGTCTTATAAGATTAATACTTAAAATAAATATAAAATAAAATAGGTACTTGAATACATTTTTAACATAATATTATGTTGTACTTATATCAACAAAATATATATAAAAACAAACAAAAAACAATTAATAATAATTAGTATACTTGTCAGACTTTTGTATAAATATATGAATCACATTTAAAAAATAATAAGTCAAACTTATGACTAAAAAACTAAAAAACAAAATATTTATATAAATAATCACTATACATTTTAGTATTTTGTATAAATATAGTAACATAATTTATATACTATCACATTAAAATAATAAGTCAAACTTTTGACTAAAAATAAGCTAAAAAATAAAATATATTTATCAAGTATTTGTTTATTGTAAGCCATAATAAGGCCCAAAACAACTTTTGCATAAAGCTTTATCACATGCTTTGCAAATTAAGTTTGATCTTTTTTGTTTTTCTTTTGTACTACAAAAACCACATCTCCGATATTTGCCTTGAATTGGAACATGTTTACCTACATCTTGGAATGTGCCATTATTTGTTGTTTTTTTATTTCCAAGCTCAACAGAACGAGTATAACTTTTTCTTTTTCTGACACAAAATTTACCAATTAATTCAGTTGCTAATTTCGACCTAAACTTGAGTTGTGACATATATTTTTTTTTTTTGTTTTTTGAATCCTCTTTATAACATATAAAACTATTTACTATACAACAATCTAACAAATAATAAAATATTTTCAACCACCAACGCCTTGACTTCCAACTTATATTGTATGCAGCCATCAACTGATCAAACTTGTCCACCCCACCCATATACATATTGTAATCAGATATTGATGCTGTGCAAGGCACTGAATCACGACTACCAATAGAATTTGTACGCAATACATTAATTTTTTCAGATCCATCATGCATGTTGCTCACTACAATTACAGGATTTTTACCTCTGTCCTTCCATTTTGTGACTGTAATATCACCACTTTGAACAAAATCGAAATCACCTTTTTTCATTGATTTGTCAGACTGTAAAATATCTTTAGGATAAAATTTTCTATTTTTTCGAAATGTGCCACATCCATATAATTTTTTTTCTAACATTTTTAGCATTAGAGGTATACTACTAAAAAAGTTATCAAAAAAAATACAATAACCTAGGCCTTCTAATGCATGAGTCAATAATAGTACAACTTTCTCACCTAGGCCTAAAGTTGTTTCACCCCCAGGTGCTTTCCCAGTTTATATATCAAATGAATACATGTATCCAGTAACAGAACAAGCTAGAACCCAAACTTTAAAACCGCGTTTAATTGGTTTGAGGGGCATGTATTGCTTCATAGTAGTTCTGCCAGTAAATGCAATCATGTTTTCATCAACTGACATGAAACGTGAAGGCGAAAACATTTCAGGGAAAACAGTATTTAGATGTTTTATCATGGGTCTTATTTTATATAGCCGATCAAATTCTAAGGAACTTCTAGGTAACATTTTAGTATTATCATTCAAGTGCAAAAACCTTATTATTTTTAAAAATCTTTTAACTGGCATAATGTCTGCAATTCTTTTACTATGAAAGTTTTCATCATCCGACCAATATAATCTCATACTAGGTAAACGATTAAAACCCATTATAATAAGAATTCCTATAAATGCTTGTAATTCAGGAACACTTAAATTTAATTCAGTGTTTGACTGTGCAGCATATAAATTAGACTCATTAACTACCAAATTTAAAAAAGTTGAATTTACAAATAATGCAAAGTAATTTAATATTATTAAATTATCTACTTCAACATTAAAACCAAATTTTTCATTAAATTTAAATCTTGAAAAATGATTTGGTGTTTGACCATTTTTGGACCATTTGAAATTTGAATTTTCTATCTGTGGATTTTCAGTGGCATCATCATCATCTGAACTTGAGGTATCAGAAATTGGGGCAAGAGGTAAAAAACATACATCAGGATCTTTGTCTGGATCATCCATGTCATCACTTGAACTTGTATTAGGTATCTGTTCTAAAAGAACTCGTCTTGCTCTTTTAGGCCTTAAATTTTGGTTTAGAGACACAGATGAGCTAGGACTTGGTGTAAATGGAGATTCGACATTGTGTGCCTGTGGAGTACTACTGTGGCCAGATGAATTCAGTGATCTTGTCACTGAACTATTCACACTTACTTCAATAGGTAAACAGTCTTCAGCATCACTGTCCCCTCCGATATCTGAATACCCAGCTTGGTCATCAGTTATGCCATTTAACATACTCAATATTTCTGAGTCCTTCATTGTGACACAGTCTATAACAATCCAAAAAAATAAAATAAAATATTACTTTATGCAGAATAGTGAAAATGTTCAAATTGTATTTCGCTAAGATTGATAAGAAAATTTTTGCTAGTGTGAAAATATTTTCCTTGCCGAACCAAAATTTAGAATTATTAAAATCAAATTAAACTCTAAGCAACATATACAATTTAAAACATTATTCATATACACAAATATAGAAACTTAAATTATTTTTAAAAATTATCAAAGTTTACACTGAAAAAATGTATGAAAAAAAAAAAATGTTTTTGTACACATATTTAAAATGTTGTTTAAGTAATCAAGGTACGATTATACACGAACCAAGTTAAAAATGTTATTAACTATAAATGTACTTACCGTTGAGAGTCTAAACAGTAATATTTTAAAAAATAAACATATTCTTAGGTCGAAAATTTACATGGTAAGAAAAATTACACGCTCTTAAAGCGCAGTGGTATAATAATTTACCACTTTAATATGTTAACGCGATTACCGATAACAAGATAACAAATACAACGTTTGACGTACAGGCTTACCACTCATATGACATTAAATTACCCATTGCATCGAGTGGTAAAGTAATATATCAATAATCCATTGGTAGAAAAATAAAAAACTGTCTGGTAAATATAGCTACCACAGACCTATAAAGGGTTAACTAACTTGTAAACTCTCCTGTGAAAGTGTCGCCAATGGGTGGCTTCTTTCTTCAATTTTTATCATGTCATATTTTTACTCTGAGCCTATTGTGCTTATTGTGTCATTTGGTACAGATTGTATATTACTTATTTGCAAATAAAAAAAAAAAATGTTATCTCGATTTTATAAAAAAAAATATAATCCAACGTTCGTACGATTTTATATGGTAATATTTTTTTAATTTTTTTTTTCCAACATTATAATAAAATATTAAAAATTATTTATGATATCTCGATTTTATAAAAAAAAAAACATGTATATTATTATTTTTGTCTAGTACTATTTACCTCGGTAGTTTGTCGTCTACGTCTATGCATATCATTCAACGGTGTTGGCGGCACGTAATCCACGTCGGACAAACTCTCGCTGGTGGACGAACTCTCGTCTTCAGACCGACTCTCGACAGTAATTATATTTAATTCTGTCGGTGTTTCTTCTATACTATTTAATAAGTCCTCGTAGACTCATCTCTCGAAGGCGATTGCTCTGAATAATATGCCGAAGTTGACGGTACGTTTGGAGTTGATGGTTCGTTTACCGGTACGTTTGAAGTTGACGGTATTTCTGTTATATTTATATCGTCGATTAATTCTCTATGATATAATATCTCTTGTTCTTCCAACTGACATCGGTAACTTATCTTTAATGTTATAACATTTAAAAGTACCGATGTCGAAAGCGTTATAATTTTTGAATTCTTCACGAAACAACGGACATGTCGCAGTGCTCTGGGTGTTTCTGCATATTTTCTTAGTGCACTCTGTACAAAACCGGTGTTTGCACTCCCATAGTTGGTTTTATATAATGAATAGGGCAGAGAAGTTATAGGAGGTAAAATTGGAAAAATATGCATGCAAATATGCACATAAAAAATTGAAAATATGCATTCAAATTCATTAAATATGCACAAAAAAATTAAATTATAATTTAGTAAAATAAAAAATTAGATATAAAAGAAATATAAAAATCATTGCATGGCACAATTAATTTTATTTTAAATATTTTCTACTTCGAATGATCGCCGATTGTTAGTATGGTTTTCTTCAATCTCGAATTTTGGATTTATCCTTAAAATAATTATAAAATATATTAATACAAAAATAGTTTTAAAATAACTTTTTTCTTACCTGATAAATTATTGCATTGCACAACTTATGTTTTTTTAATATTTTCTACGTCGAATGATCGCCGATCGTCAGCCAGTATGGTTTTGTACCTTGAAAAACTTCTTTCGACGTCTGTTGATGTTACTGGTACATATTTATAAAATGTTAAATCATTTCCCGTTAGGTCTTCTGGTAAACTATCCATCGATGAACTTTCTAAATTTAAAATTTTTAAAATTTTTTATATTTTGCAAACCCATCATTTTTTTCTAAAACTTGGTTAAATTTTGTTTTTACTTTCATTCCAACGTCACCCGCAACTACGTCCAATTTATTTTTTGTGAACATTACTGTTGTTACTGAATCAGTTAATGATACTCTTTGTGATTCTAATTTAGTTATGGTTGATGGTAAAAACCCATAATTTGAATGTATAAAAGTTAAATTTGGTTCCATTGAAATTTCATTTAGAAAGGCTTGAGATTCTTTTATAGATACAGCATCGTTAGAATCAAAATGTTGCATAACATCTCGTACTTGCTTAAAATATTGGCAGTAATAAGAAGTAGCTTCAATCCAAGAACCCCAACGTGTAAGTACAGGTTCAGGAGGAAGAGGGACTCCGGGAACTTCTTTCTTAAAAAATAAAACACTCGAAGGTGCTTTTAAAAATACTTGCTTTCCTTTTGCTACTAATTTATCAACTCTAGGAACATGACTCCGAATATTTTCTGCCAATCTATGTAATCCGTGTGCTATACAAGTAATATGGATCATCTTGGAGTACAAAGCCTTGATAGTTGTACCTGCTTTCTTCATGTATGGCGCAGCATCGCTTAAAAATAGGAGAACGTCATCATGACGAACACCGTCGGGCCACAAGAGAAACATTGAGCTGTCAAAAAGTTTGGTTATTGTAGAAAAATTGGCTTTTTCTAAAACTTCGGTGTTTAGTAAATATATTTTTCCGGGTCTATCTTTCAGTAGAGTTCCGATTATTACGTTTGCTATATATCTCCCTTGTACATCTGTCGTTTCATCTATAGAAACCCATATTTTATTTCCTACAACGTCTTTTCTAATTTGATCAATAGCTTCTAAATAGCAATCGTTTGTATAAGTTTTCCTCAACGTGGATACACTAGGGATGTCATTTAGAGTATATTTTTCAAGGAACGATCGGAATTGAACATTAGAAATTTTATGTAAAGGAATGTTTGCACACATCATAGCCTTACACAAATCATGTGAAAAAACAGATTTTTTGTTTGATGGCTGTGATATAAATTGTTGTTTATTTTCTGCAGGTTTATTTCGACGAGCTAATAATCGTTCGTGTTTATTTGTTTTTATATGTTGAGTTCCTGTAAATTTTTTATCAGCACTTACTTTAACTTCGCAAATCTTACAATAAAGCATAGTACCATCGGTAGATAATGTATCTTCACCAAACTGTTTTACATAATTGTTAAATATATTTGCATTTATTTTTGGCATTGTGCAAAATGTTAGTAGAAAATATATTAAAAGAAAAATGTAAGCATGGAAAACACAACAAACGGCAGGCAGTTTCGTATCGAACGACACTTAACACCATACTAACAAGATTACTGACGGACAGTGGACTCTGGACATATAATAATGTAATAAAATATGTGGGTACCTATAATATGTACATATAGTATACACGGGCATCGGGTGGTGTACAATGTATACATATATACTATACAGTAATACAGTATATAATAATACCATACAGTTTTTATGTAGAATATGCATGAAATATGCACAAAATAACGAAATATGCAATTTTTTTTAAATCTTTAAAATATGCAAAAATATGCAAACAAAAATTTTAGATTTCAACTGTGGGGCCTATGACTTATATTTATATCTTGGTTTGCTATAAAATAAAGGCCCAGAATAAAACATGCAAATCCTATAATTTCTCTGCCCTAATAATGACATATCGAACATTTTTCTGATGTCAAAAACCATATTTTTTCACACTCTTGGGGTCGTTTTCGAGCGAGATTGTACCGAAATTTGTAAAAATTAATGTTCAATTTTTGTTCTTTTTTAATTTTTTATTATTAATATTTTGGTGTAAATCAATAGCTGATGCTGGTAGTCGAAACGGAGATTTATGACTGCCAGGTGTCGAAACTTATTTTGTTAAACAATCGTCCAATGGCTTACTCAAATCATGTACAACCATGTCGTTGTTCATAGGCTCATCAACAGTGAACCCAGCCTCATTGTCACATTCTATAACAACAGGGCTTTCGATACCATGGACCACTTTGGCCGAAATGTTATTTTTATCTGCTGTAATGGTAGAAGACTTAGGGATTTTTAACGACAGTGCTTTGAAAGGACGGTAGTTTATGTGTTGGAGATGTCTGTGTTGTTTCTCTTTTTTACCCCAACTTTCTATTGCGTCCAAATGGTTATGGCTAGACATTTCTGAGATTTTTCTTTTACCATTTCTTTTGGTATTTATCTGCCTAAACTGATTGTCAAAATCAAGTGCACGCGTGCAAGCTTTTTTTTGATATTACACTTAATTTGTTTGTGTGCATTCATCACACGCTCTCTCATAAGTCTTAAAAACCGACCGCATTTCCATCTTCGGTCGCCATCAAGTATGTCAACTTTTACAGTTTTAAACAAAGACTCAACAGTAGCATTACTCTGGCGTATTTCAATGCCATTTTTGACTTTATTATTCATAATAGGTGTCCAAAGTGCCAAGAATGGTACACACTTGACTATAAACTCGTGTAAATAGGATTCATCGTAATATTCATTACTTATATTTTCAGAATTTCCAGAACAATCTAATAATAAGCTAGATTTAACATGTTTTTTGATAGACTGAAATCTACAGTACATCATGGAATTACTAGTGTCTGATTCACAAAGAAATTTATTTATTTCTTCAGAATAATTTTTGACTTTGTTGTTCAATTCATTTGACTGTTGGTGGTTAACATTACACTTGTCTCTCATTGTACTAATGGCATTTTTGGTTTTTCCTGTACTACATGGAGACAACAATATTAATGAAAATATTTTGAACCAATTTTCAACATCTTCCAAACTTTTTGCGTTAAACAGTAAACATATCCAATCAATAACATTATTTCTTTTCGTTTTTTCCACAGTTTTACT